GGGAAATAGGTGAGGTGTCCGGTTATTACAGGGCCAGGTATATGGTGACCTCAGCACCATGTCTAGGAGGCCCCACAAGTAAGCAGGATGGGAAGGAGCCAGGAGAACACTTGGTCCTAAAGAGGAGAGGGAACTGGTTCAAGATGAGATCACACAGCAGAAACCAGCCCAGAGAAGCGCCTACCACATGCCTAAAGCTGAACCAGAGGCCAGAGGGTAACTAATCCTGAGAACTCCAAGAACATGGAGGTGGGGGGAAATGCTGTAACATGAGACTTTGTGAGTTAATTGGGGCTGTAATCTTTCCTCGTGGGTTGCCAAGAAAGAGAACTAGTCATAATAAGTTGGGAAAGGTGGTAGAGGAGGAGGAAAAATACCTTCTGGGTTACACAGAACTTTCTAGCAATAGAATTGGCTACCTTGCTGGGGAAGGGTACAGAGTAGATACTTGCCAGGGATTCTGCAATAGAGACCCAAGTATCTAGTTGGATTGAATGACTCCCCATCTCTCCTAAACTTGATATCCAACTGTTCTACTCCCACTGCCCTGAGATTACCAGAAACTTTCACCTCACCTCCTGACTGATCTCTTGGGTAAGCCCAGGAAGACACAAATCCCCTTTACCACCAGGTGGATCTCACCCCATAGCTGAGCTCTGGTGTGAGAGAGCCAAGCCTGACCAACTCTTACAATTTGAGAAATGTAAGAACCATCACTCTACTCATAAAACCAGATAATAATGACTTTCTTACTGGATTTACATTTTTAAAAAGTCCTAGCTTGGCACCTAAGAGTAATTGGATCTAAGTCACCAGTTTCTTGACTTCAGAGCCATTTGGCTAAATCATTTCATGTAATACATATTTGTGAGGCATTCAGACAGGCATTAGAGCCATGCTAATAGCCACTATTACCTGTTGAACTACACAGGTCTAGAAACTCAGGAGAGACTAAGACTTATATCCCACATCATGTGGCAGGAGGGAAGATAAATAAATGTACAATGGCTGCATGTTTTAGAAGTTCTATGGGCTCAAAGAGGACCGAGGCTTTGAGATTGGGGTGAGGGCTGGGGTGAGTCTGAGAAGTTCAGACGATGTGTGTGTATAGGACAGTAGCCAAGGAAGCCTGATCACCTACGATGACAATATGAGGCTCTGCCTATTTTATATATATGGTTTCCCATTTTTATAACCATTCTGCAAGATAGGTGAGGACACCAGCTTCAAAGAGATGACAAGTCTGGCCACTGTCACGCCACTCATAAATGACATCAGAAACTTCAATCTCAGACTATCAGAGTTTTGATCTTTGTCCCATTCACTGCTAACCCAGGCTTAGAAGTCTGATAACCCTCTTCTCTAAAACCTGTCACCAGCTCTCTTCAAATCCCATGACATTTTCAGCAGTCACAGCTACGAGTAATCACCACAGGAGAAACAAGGCCACTTTAGCGCACACACCACAACAAATCTTTCCTCCGTGCACTTGAGCTCGCTGTGCTATATTCAAGTTCAGTCCTGTGACCTCCCCTAAATGCTGCCCTTGAACCTCTGAACGCAGCCTGCAAACGTGTTCAGACTTGAGTATTAATAGACAAACAGCACTGAGGCCGGATGGATTTGTGGGTTAGAATCCGAGACTCTGGAAAACAGCTTAGAGCAACTTTAAAATAGCAACCTGTGGAATAAACACACCAGCTACACAGGGTGGTCAAGGGCTGTGCTGCCAATAGTCATTTATTAAAGAAAATAAGACCCTGGTGACAGTTTTAAAATCCTCATCAAAACACTTTTTGTCTAGAGGCAATATTTTTATAGTTCCTGTTCCCTGGCTATAAATGTGGGCTTCTTCTTAAATAGTCCTTTCAGAAGCCCAGGTCCAGCCCAGGAGACAAGGCAGATGACATCATCCTGCTCCACAAATAAGGAATTGTTCAGTCCTCAAGAGGACACCGGCCTGCCTTCCCCAGGACCAGGAGGGGAGGGGGCCACCTGCCTCATTATCTTTGATGTGTGTATAGTTTTGTTTCCTCAGAGTGGGAGGCAGGAGTTTAGTAGAAAGGATAGGAAAAGGGGACCCTCTCAAGGGAGAATAAGGGTACTCTGAAAGGAGGAGAGCATGCTCCTTCTGTCCCCCAGTTTTCTTGGGGGTTCCAGGGAGGAATCCAGGGTCCTAAACAGCAGAGTAGAACTCTCCTGGATAATGCAAACAGAGAAAGCACAGGTGACAGAGTTCAGACCTAAAGGACAGGAGTAGCCAGCTATGGTCCTGCTGGCACTCATAGGGAATTAAAGTGTAGGAGGGCTGGGGTAGAGAGATGGAGACGAAGCATATGGGACAGCCCTGTATGGGTGAGGAGTCTGACTTAGAAATGATTCGAAACTGGTGAAGGGTCTCGGATGGGAGAAAGTCACCAAGAAAGACCAAGTGAGATGTCACCAGGTGGGAGGGCCTCAGAAACCATGATGAGAAGTCTGGGCCTCGTGCTAAGTACGATGGAAAGATTCAGAGGGCTTGAAGTCGAGAATGACTGTCCTATCAGCAAAGAACGCAAGGTTCACTGGGTCAGGACAAGAGCTCTTGGTGACTCGGATGAGATAAGGGCAGGGCAGAAGGACAAGTCAAGTCATAGCATTTCTGGGGTAGAACCCCAGCACTTACTACTGGCAAGGTTATGGGGGAGATTGCCTGGATTGCCAGGTAAAGAGGGTGTCTGGGGTGGTAGATTTGGAAGTTCTGAAGGCCTGAGCTACTTGCGTCTAAGGAAGACTCAAGGAGCCAGGGCCCCCTTCTACATCACAGTGAGGAAATCCAGTCTAATCCCTTTCTGTTTACTCCCAGCTAACACCTCTTTGTAACCTTGGGAGAAATGTGACTTCTTTTTTTTTTTTAATCCATAGGGCATTCATGGGAGAAAAAAATCCAGAATTTAACTTTTGAACATAATAGGCTGAAATGTCCGAGACAACAACTAGAATTCTCAGGTGGGAAATGGGAACGATTAGCCCGACGGGAAGAGATCCAATAGGGGAGGTAGATGGAGGAGCCCAAGACAGAAAATCTAAGGTCATGAAATGGAATCAGATTGTGTAAGAGGGAGGGGGATTAGAGTAGCCCACGGAAAGTCCCCAGGAGCCCCAGGCAGAAGGGAAGAGGTGGAGTCTCCAAGGCTTCATTCGAACCAGAAGGGTGGGCTTCAGAGAAACCATCCTGTAGGATTCTGTGATGCTGTAGACAGAACCCGGTACATTGTCTGAACCCCACAGAATGTTCACTGCCCATGGACCATGGTTCACTGCAGACTTTAATTGATACAATGTATCATTAATCCTTTCATCAGTTGTAACAAATACACCACACTAATTCAAGATGTTAATAATAGGAAGAACTATAGGGGGAAGGGGCATATGGGAAACTGCTCTAAAACTGCTCCAGAAAAATAAGGTCCATAAATCTACATTAAAAGGAAGAAAGTGGGTCTGGAGTGTGGCTTAGTGAAGGAGGGCTTGCCTAGTGTGCATGAGGCCCTGGGTTTGTTCCCTAGCAACACAAAAAAGAAAAAGAAGAAAGTATATGCTTTAGGATCAGGCTCAAAGAAAAACCAAATCAACAAGGTGTCAGAGGTGTCACTGGGAAAGAAGAGTAGTCTTAAAATAATATAGAATTATTTTGAAGAAGACACCTTGTCCATGGAAGGGTGCAACACAGATCAAGAAAAATGCTTTACATTCTATTACTGTTTTGTAACTTGAAATTTCTTCCTAAAGGATCCAGAAAGATGACAAAGAACAATTTAAACAATCGTGTGACCAATGATTTATACACATTGATCTTCTGTATTCAAGCCAAAGCACACTGTCACAGCCCAGGTCCCTAGAGTCCATCAAAACTTGACTGCAAGTCAGGCATGGTGGTACACACCTATAATCCCAGCTATGGGAAGGCTGAGGCAGGGGGATGGCAAGTTCAAGGCCAGCTTCAACAACTGAGCAAGACCCTGTCTTGAAATTAAATGTTAAAAGGGCTGGGAACGTAGCTCAGTGGTAGAGCACATCTGGGTTCAGTCCCTAATACTGAGCAGGGAGAAAGTATGATTTAATGTGGGTCAAGTAGCTTCAAGGGCAAAAAGTGGGGTGATAGAGATTTGTAAAATAATTATTGTTGTTTTACATTATTCTCATGGAAGTAATTCACCTTTTTAATATTCTTTTCACTCTAAGGTATTTTTTAAGAATGCATGCACATATTGATGCAGCCACAAAACTAACAGAGGGAGGACTCATAAATTGCATTATGGGTTACCCACATGAGCCACTCCATAAATCCCACTGCATGAACTATTCCTAAGGTCCCCCCGAGCCATTCAGACACATGCATGTGCACACACAATAGTTTAAATGCCCAATTCTGTGACATCCCTCTCATGCACACATGCACATTAAAGAAGTAAATTCCCTGGCTTTTTTTTTTTTTTTTTTGAGGTTTCTTTCTCACCACCCTACTGGGAATCTGTTTGTCTGCCTCCACATCTCTCTCTCTCTCCATGTCTCTCCAACCTTTTGCTCTGAAACTGAACCGAATTCATTTTCCAGAACATTTAATAAACTTCAGAGCTCCACATAAAACACTTTTAAATGTTGGGTCTTCAAGGAGACCCCAAGGATCCCAGACTTTAGATTTAAAAAAAAAAAATAAATAGGAAAACAGGCAAAACCCTTAATGAACTCTGATGCACTCCGAGAAGGCAAATGAAACAGAATTAAAATAAATAAAAAGTCCAACATGTGGCCTGAGAACAAGGAGCCACCTTATGCCCTGGCCAGCCGAGGCATTCAAACATTTCGTCAGCAGGAGCTCAGCCAACCTCCTCCGCTCACGTTTATAAAGCTGGCCCAGGGCACCCAGGGCAAGATGTGGCTGAGCAGTCTCCTTGCTCCGTAGCTGCTGCTGCAGCAGAGGGGCTGGCAGAGTGGCCTCACTGACTAGCCCAGGAGCCATGGCAAAGAGTGGATTTGTGATCTGTATCCTGGTGATCACCTTACTCCTGGACCAGACCACCAGCCACACGTCCAGACTAAAAGCCAGGAAGCACAGCAAACGCCGAGTGAAAGGTAACGGGACTGTTCAGCCCAGCCACCCTCGGGGCTTAGTGTGTGGAGGTGCCGGGCGAGTTCATATCTACCCACCAGGAGCCTGTCCCTGGTGACAGCACAATGCCAGCATGTGCATGTCATTTTACAGGGGACCGAGTGAGTGAACTTTGGAATCTCTGAGAGTTTGATAGTTAAAGGAATCATGCGGGATTTTATAGTTATTGAAGAAAAGCTTTGTAATATAAAAACTTTCTGGCTTACCTATCTGGTGGGCTTAGATATATGGCATGTTCCTCAGAGGGCGCTCACCTGGGTACGTGAAGTTGGGGCATTACGAATGACAGGGCAAGTAGAGTCCACCGTTATGCAGGAGAACTCAATACTCCTAAGTATTGAGTAGTTCCCTCAAATATGTTTGTAAGAACTGTGATTGTACTAAACGTGCAGCAGAGGACAGAACTGTGGGTATCCGCCAGCTCCTTTCTCGTCCTTAGCTACCTTATAGGTTTATTCCCTGGCCGTCTTAGGAGAGTCTATGCCACCTCTTTACATTTCTCATGTCAGAGCATCAAACTTCCTCTTTAAGATTACATGTCCACATGTAAAGTCGTGCAATGTTTGGAAACAAAATGGACTCTCTAAGCAATTCCAAACTTGGGGCGACTCGATATAGGCAAAGAGGTTTAAAAAAGTTGTCATGAATTAAGTTAGGACAATGTATTTGCAGTATGCTGAAACTGAGAAAGAGAAAAAAAGCAGCCAGACCTAGGGGGACATTTCATCTCATCCTTTTAAGCCATTTTCCTCTCAGGACATTTCAAGGGGGATATTATGGCAATTTCACTTCATTAGGAAAAAAAATACCAACAAGATAAAAGTCTAGATTGCATTAGGGGTCCAAGGGGGCTTGTCTTGTGCTTTGTTTTAGTGATTTTAAAGGGCCCTTTCCAGGGGCATTTATTTATAAAATCTAGGTCTAGTGCGAGGTATCCTAAGCAGAGCCTTTTCCCTATAAAGGATTACATGTCCCAGTTCCCCCTCTTAATGAAAGGTTACAATATTTCTAATAAGTAGATGAAGTACACAGCTGAGGACCAGGATAGGGGAAGAAGTGGGGGGGAGAGAGAGATGATCCAGGGTGATGTGGCAGATTTTTCTGGCCAGCCTCTCTTCACTGCTGGGAAAAGTAGGAAAAAATGGGGGTTACCCAGTAGGGATGCAGGGAGAGAATGTCAATGTGTGCTCACTCGCTCTCCACCCCTTCTCCCCCATCCCCACACACATACTTTTTTGGGGAGTCCACAACTTAAACATTGCCTCTCCAAAACATTCCTCACCATCAGGTCCAAGAAAGTAGACCCTACTGGAGGTGAAGCAATAGCCCTATTTTCTGAACAGGTCTTTCCCCATCCACCCACATACTGTGGTATTATTTTAAAGAGCTTAAAATATTTTAAAAGTTTATGAAGTCAAAAGTCCAAGCCATCTTTTCTACCCCAGTCCTTGTCACAGTATTACCCCCATTAAACATTGGGTGTTAATGTTTCCAGATTGGCTGTGCAAACTGTTTGGCAGGCAAATGGATTTAATTCGTCTGTTAAATCCTGGACAGCTCTCCATAGAAAACATATTTCATTCAAGATATTGTACCATTGTTTGGGCGGGTCGTGACAATGTTTTCTCTTGGTAAATTTCTGTATGGCTTCCAATCCATCTCTTTATGGTACAATGTCCCTGAGGAAGTGCTTTGTATACACATATCGATCCCCTTGCTAGATGTTATGTTTCTTCAAGAAAAACTGCAGGTTAATGGGATTCTCTGCTCGTCTCTTCAAAAGATCTCTGCCGTCCACACCCTAGGCTCAGTGTGTGGGCGTGGCCATTCCCCTGCATCATGACAACCATCTGTACATGGATTCTTAAAGTATCAACATAGAGTTTTATTGGTCATATCTTCTGGAACATTGTTTGCATTTCCATATTATATCTAATTCTGGGTAACAACCCTCATAAAAGGGAACCTTTTCAGAAATTCAAAATGGCAATGAGTGAGCTCCAAACATGAGATTTTCCTGTGATTACTTACATCCCAGGTCACAACAAATTATGTGTTGCGTTAATAACTAAAATACAAATTCTGCAGTGAAATATAATCCCTTTGTTCATCCCCATTAGCAACAAAGGGAGGGCAGCAGAAGCCAAGTCACCTGGATAATGACTTCCATAATGATCTCCCAGGAGCCTAATACTAATTCACTGTCTTGGTGCTAATTACAGTGTTTACAGTCTCCCAGTGGAGGCCACTTATTTAAATAGAAGGGAGCAGGAAGCCAAGAGTGAGGGGGATGACAGTTGTCCAGTTGACAGCATAACTTGGAAGAGAGTCTTCGGAGGACTTTGCAAGCCTGGCCCAACAGCTGATGGCTTTGCATTCTAAGTGTGCCCTTTAGTCTATTCCTGTTTGAATGGTGCCTTGGAGAAAATCTCTGTCGTCTTGTATTTCTGAGCTGAGCTGTTGATACTTTAAGAATCGATGTACAGCATTAAGTGAAGTAGAGGTGGGACTGGCCCTGGATACCCCAGAAGGTGATTTCTTTACCCAAATGTGGAAACATCTGGCTTGTGAGCATGTTCAAGGGGATAATGCACTAGGACATGTAGATTTCAGACTGTCCTGAAAAAATCCTAGGATTAAAAAAAAACGAAATGGATTCTATGTATGGCATCCCCACAAAGAGACTTCTGGGAACAGTTCTTATAAAGCTTTAAGCATCTACTCGAAGGCTATGTGCCTGGGACCAAGGAGTAGAGGAAATCCCTGGGTGGAAGCAGATCAGAGGGGTGGGATGAAAACAGGCTTGAGCCAGGGAAATGCACGTCCCAGCTCTGCAGCTCACTAGCTGGGTGACCTTCAGCAGGCTCATTCCATTTTCTTTGCCTCTAGTTTTTCTTCTGTAAAATGGAGACAACGGTAGCATCTTTCTCATAGGAATACTGAAAGAATTAGTCTCCTGGAAGACAGTATATGGTGGCTTTTAATATTTGTTTTTATGATTTACTATGATGTTATAAAGGTGTTTATGTCTAAGGGAGTCCCTAACAGTTCTAGAGCTTGCATTTGGCCAAGGTTACTAATTTGTTACCATTTACCTATAGTCAAGTTGATCTGACAGCCAGGAAAATTCTTTAGCACCAACCAAGAACATCAAGACTAAAGAAGTGGCTCATCCCTTACATGGGTGAATTTCTACCTGATCCTTTATTGCTCAGCCCTGCTGGGAGCCACCAGACCAGATGTATCAGCTGTAAATGGATACTGGGGACAGATGGCATGGGGTCCTACGTTAGTCGGAGTCCTGGAACTTACCTACCAATCACCTAGCTCCCTGGGCTGAGCCTTCTTTTCAACGAGAATCAGTTTTCTCCCTTTATTGCTATTTTTAAAGAGCACATTAGGGCTGGGGCTCAGTGGCAGAGTGCTTGCCCAGCATATGTGAGGCCCTGGGTTCGATCCTCAGCATCACATAAAAATAAACAAATAAAATAAAGGCATTCTGCCCATCTACAACTACAATTTTTTTTAAAAAAGCACTTAACATGAAAGTATTTTTTATACCATAAAGTACATGCCATGAATATTATGGGCCTAGCATCATGTTAGGCATCAGGAATGCCCTGGGTAGTGAAAACATTCAGAAGGAAATAAGTGGGTGATATATAGATTGGAGAAAGTGATCTGGAGAAAATAGACAATAATCAAAGAAAGAGTACGGATTGGATTCCAACCTAGAGCGTAATCAGAAATGTTCAAAAAGAAGCTGGGTCAGGAGGGAGGCAGGAGAGGGGCAACCCAGGTGCACAGGAAGGGGAAACAGCTCTCATTCTCCCACATGTCAAGAGCTGAAGAGTCCAAAGCCTTGTGACAAGGGGAATCTTGTGGGGCGAAAGAGGGGCAAAAGCTCCATCTCGAAAGGGCTCCCAGGGTTACAGCCTCAGCAATCCCTCGCCCCCGTCTTCCTGCCCACGCTGTCTTCATGCATGAGTTTTTTGTATACTCAGCCCAGTTTCCTCCAAATTGCCACCGCCTTGAATTCTGCATCCTGAAGCTCTTTTTAAAGAATTTTATTTTAATCATACGCTTTCTTTCCCATCTACCTCATCCCACCCTAAAATGTCCCCAGAAAAGGATGGAGATCTGAAGTCTCAAGTTGAAAAGCTCTGGAGAGAAGTCAACGCCCTGAAGGAAATGCAAGCCCTGCAAACAGGTGAGAGCCCCTCCCCCACCCACCAGCACCTCCTCCAAAGGCCAGCAGAAGAGCACCTGTCGGGCCCCGTGCTCTAGACTAACCCAGACCACATCTGGAGTTCTGGGTGACAGCTCTTCTTAAAAGAATTGTGGACAAACCGCAGATGTGTTCCAGTGAGAGGACCTGAAATCTGGGAGATGATTGTTTTGGGAAATCAGCTCCATTTGCCAACCCTTCCTCCTCTATGTGGGTGGTACAGAAATAAAACTAGGTGGCTCTAGAATACATTCTAGAAGCCAGGGCATAATTCCTCTCTACTAGGTGGAGAAACAGAGTGAAGGAATTATTAAATGACCAAAGCACAGCATTGACTGGTGTGAAATGTTTACCACTAGGAGAGCCACTGAGATCAAATGATCAGGCTCACGGGCATCCCCCAGGTCACACTGGGCATCAGATGCCTGTGGAGAGACACGGGTGAGAGCCAAGGCTTGCCCACTGGGCTGCGTCCTGTGTTCCTGTGCACAGCCTGTGTAGCCACACATTCATCCAGAAGCTAGTCTCCAAGAGGGAGGAAATTAGAGTGCACTGGGCAGGTTCAGAAAAAGCCCTGGCCTGCAAAGCTTCCATCCCTGGAAACAATATTCTTCATATCAACTCCAAAAGCAGAGTGTAGAAGGCTCCACAGGAACTTGCCCAAGTACAAGGTCACACTTCAGGGAAGACACAAGTCACGGCTTTCCATCAAGCAATTTTAACTCCTGGGCTGGAGGTAGTTACCAATCCAGGGTCACTTTTACCATAAGCAAAGTTGCCTAGTAACATGGTACCATGTTCCCCTGTTCAGGTTTCCGGGGATACAGAATCAGAAAGTTAAAGTGAAGTTAAATGCTCATGCAGAAGGAAAAGAAAGTTTGGGTAACCTTTTACCCATATTCTGTCACTACACCTATTTTATGAACCCACCAACAACTTAAGTTGAATAGCTGATTTATGTCGACTCTTCCAGCTTGTGCTGATGACGATTATCTTCACTTTACAGATGAGAAAAGTGAAACACACAGAAATTAAGTAAATTTATCTAAGGTTTACACAGCTAGGAAACATCAGAGAGGAGACCTAAAGCTGGGCACCATGGCCCTGGAGCTGTGCTCAAAAAGTATATTTATGTCTACTTTTTCCCAGGTAGCCCAAAAAGTATTACAAGGTCTCAGTTATCCCACTTAACAAAACCATGGGCTCTGCAAACACAAATTCAGACTTTTGCTTTTGTTTTGATCATTTTGAAATCCCATCCGAATCCAGAAGTCCCAAGGAAATTCAGCATATCACAGATCTGCATAAATTAGGATGCACAGGAGTATCAAAGCAGCTAGAGGCTGAAGATCATGCTTTGAGCTGGGCACAGTGGTGCAAGCCTGTAATCCTAGTGGCTTGGGGGGCTAAGCCAGCCTCAGCAACTTGGTGAGGTCCCAAGCAACTCAGTGAGACCTGATGTCTAAATAAAATACTACAACAACAACAACAAATGGCTGGGGATGTTGTTCAGTGGTTAAGCACCCCTTGGTTCAATCCCCACTATTCCCCCCACCAAAAAAAAAAAAAATGTTTTGAAGGTGGGGCAGACCTGAATTGTGTAGAGGTGATTTTATATGCTATGCAAGTTACATTACTGATATGGCTAAGTTGTGACAAGTAAGGATTTCTCTAAGCCTCAATGTCCTGATAAGTGGGGTAATGATGTACCACTTCACAGGGTGGTCATGATTATTATGAGTTTGTGTATGTATAGTGCTCAGCGCACACACACACACACACACACACAAAATCACCAATAAACTAACTCATCATCACTGTCACATGTTATCCATTCCATCCAAGTTTATGGCTGTCTGCGCCAGGCATGGTACACTCAAAAGCAAATTAACGTATATACTTTCACATCCCACAGTGTGTCTTCGAGGCACAAAAGTTCACAGGAAATGCTACCTTGCATCGGAAGGCTCAAAGCACTTCCATGAAGCCAATGAAGACTGCATTTCCAAGGGAGGGACATTGGTCGTGCCCAGGAACACCGACGAGATCAATGCCCTCCGAGACTATGGTAAGAGGAGCCTGCCAGGCGTCGATGACTTTTGGCTGGGCATCAATGACATGGTCACGGAAGGCAAGTTTCTTGATGTCCACGGATTCGCCGTTTCCTTCCTCAACTGGGACCGTGCACAGCCCAATGGAGGCAAGAAGGAAAACTGCATCCTCTTCTCCCAGTCGGCTCAGGGGAAATGGAGCGATGAGGCCTGCCGCAGTAGCAAGAGGTACATCTGCGAGTTCACCATCCCTTAAGAGGCCCTCTGCAGATACATCCTCCAAGCAAGATCAGACATGACTTAGAGGCTGCTGGTCCCCAAGAATATGTCAAAATTGCAATTACTAATTGCAAAATTGCCACACAAGTGTCAAAGTCCATAGCAATACAGGATCAGACAATTGTGCTACCATATTTCATTGTGAGTTTGCCCTTCAAGGGGTCAGAAAATAATAATCCAGACATGTGCACGCTATTAAAATGACATCTATGAAAAGGGCTATCATATTCTTTCTCTTTCCTTGTTCCTCTCATTTGTGTAGACTCAGTCTGTTTAAAAATACAACACACTGCTTCAACCCAGAAAAGCAAGCTTAGGCTACCTGGAAGATTTTCTCTTGAAAGTTTAGCACAGGGATACTTTCTGAGAAATGTGTCGGAGGTGATTTTGGTGATATGAACATCATAGTGTATATTTATGCAACCTTATGTGGTATAAGTTAAATAGTCCAAGTGGCTTCTTGATGTGATCAACAGATGCAGTAAACACAAGATGTATGTAGCTGCTGCTGGTGCAAGATGGCATACTGCCTTATCATATACTTATTTTTCTATAAGTAGGACTCTACTCTAAAACAGTAATAAAATGATAGTATAGTGTATTAGTCAGTTTTCCATCACTATAAGATACCTGACAGAGTCTACATATGAAGTACAAAGGTTTATTTAGCTCACAGTTTGGGTGGTTCAAAGTTCAAGACGGGGCAGTCCTGTTGGCTTGGTTTATGATGAGGGTGGCAGATGGCAGCATATCCCAGCAGGGGCCATGTTGGAGTAAATGGTCACATTTCAAACTATTGCACAACAAGAGAGAGGGGGGATGGGCAGAGTCCCACAATCTCTTTTCAGGGCATGATAAGGGCCTCCAATATGGCTCCATCTCTTAAGATCCACAGCACCTGCTAATACTCCCACCCTGGGGACCCTTGGGAGAAATAGATAAATGAGGCTACCTCAAGCCATAGCATATGATAAATACATAAAGCAGCAAATCATTTATTATTATCAAATATTCTGTATGGTGCCTAATTGTATGTGCTGTATCTTATACAACTGACAGAGCAGTGCATTGGTCTACACCAGTATGACCAAAACACATGAGTAGTGCCCTGCATTATGACCTTGGGCAGCTACCATGGCAGTGGGCAAAGGTCATATTTCAGCTCCATTACAATCTTATGGGACCACCATCATGTACCACCATGCATTGGTCAAACATTGCTATAGATGCATGCTGTGTGTATTTGTGGGATGAGAATTCCCTAAATCAGAGGTTCTGGGTGCTGCGTAACCCAACAACTTCTCTCTCATGCTCCATCTGCCCCACCTCCCATACACCTGCTAGCCCAGGGCCCTTTGAGTGGCTGCTTCCCCTGCTGGGCTTGTGTCTTGTGTGCTGCCTCAGGACCATGATGTCTGAGGAGGTTCTGATTTAACTCTGTTTCTTTTGAACTCCCCCACCCAAGTTTGAACTCCCCCACCCAAGTTTTTTTTTTTTTTTTTAAAGTTCCCAGGCAGGGTCCAAAAAGACATGAGCAGGTAGCATGCGTGATGGATTCCATGCCCAGCATGACATCAGTTTCCCCATAAAGGGGAAATTCTGAAGCGCAGAACAAGAGCAGCAGAACTTGTGGGCCAGGAGCGCTGGAGAAAAGCCTATTTTCTCCTTCCTTTTATATCTTTACTGTCTCCCTATATATATGTTAGCTTTTTTAAAACTTTCTTTATATACTTAAATATATAATGATGGTGGAAAAAATCATTTAAGTCTCTTCAAGACAACCTATCTTTGGAAGTTTCAAGTTGGATTTAGGCAGCACTATTCTAGAGCCATGCATCTAGGTAATTTTTTTTTATCCTGCCAAATGCTATCCCCATGAAACTTCTCAACAAAATTGCAGAAAATAATTTCATCGCTTCAGATGAAGTTACAAAATTGAGGCTCTGGGAAGAGGACTTTTTAGAAGAAAAAAAAATCTCAATATATTCTGTCCTTCCAACAAATATCCAGTTTCTTTAAATTTTCACTGTTTTGTGAATCACATCTTGCTCCACAAACTTTAATTACACGTGCTTGGAATTAAGTTTTAGCTCTTTTCATCAGACAATAATAAAGCCTGGATTCTGATCAATGTGGACGTGTTCGTATGTTCATTATAGTCATTCATACTATGTTGGTTTGTATAAACTTGGCAGAAAATACTCTGCATTTGACCAAACTGGTGACACAGATGTCTTCGGAGAACAGTTTCACCTGCAATAAATAGATGCAATCAGAGAGGGAGGGGGTCCTTAAAAATGCATCAGATGAACTCCTGCTTTCCAAGGCATCTCAACAGTGATGAGAAATGAGGGGGCAATCAGGGGCTGGGGGTGGGCAGGAGAGAGAGAGAATGTGTGTGTTCTCACCTAGCGCTTAGTTCATCATCCCAATCCCCTAAGGCCTGGTGTCAATTTCTGTGAATTCTATGAGCTGCCCCATAATTCCCCCAACTTACACAAGACAAGTTCTCCTTTGCATGTGAGCTGCTTTAAAGTGGCCCATCAGCAAGGAAAGGCTGGGAGATGATGCAGTGGCCATCTCAAAACCTATCAGCCAGGATGGGCTGGGTAGTGCTGCAGTTGAAAGCTCAAGTGGCATTTGACAGTAAATGGTTGGAGTTGGAGAATATCATGCCAAGCGAAATAAGCCAATCCCAAAAAACCAATGGCTGAATATTTTCTCTAATATGTGGATGCCAATTTATAATAAGGCAGAGGTCACTAGAGAAGAATAGCATTACCTTAGACGGGGAGGGGAAGGGAGGGGAGGGGAGGGGAGGGGAGGGGAGACAGTCATAATGTCTCTTTCATTCTACTATGTACATATGTGACTGTATGACAAATGTGATTCTGCAACATGTACACTCAAATAAACGAGAAATTATATCCCATTTATGTATGGTATATCAAAGTGCATAAATACATTCTACTGTCATGCATAACTAATTAAAACAAATTAAAAAATTTAAAAATCAGAGTGGTTTGAAACACAAGCTCTTTTCTCTTGTGCACTTCGATGTCCAGGGAAAGGGGTTCTACTCTACATCATGCTGGGAAGCCAGAGAGCAGAGGAGAAGAGCGCTCTGGAGACCCTCGACAGCCTTGGCTGGCACCACCCAATACAGAAACGGCAAACATCGTCTCTGCTCTGAGATCTGCAAGAGAATTCTGCTGCGTTCCCAGGAGGTGGAGAGCCAGGATCATATACCATACCTCCCATCGTTGGGTCTGTCACTTTCCACCAAAATAATGCTGACTAGTAAAATCTATGAAGAGAGGTGAGACTAGAAAGACCATAATCCAACCGAAGGAGAAAGTGGGTTCAGAGAGAGAAGAATAGAGAGCAATAGGCTCATCACTAGGGAATGGAATCTCCGGGTCAGAGCTTCATCATCTAGAAACCAATTCTGCTTTTTTCAGCTCTTCACACCAGAACTACTACCTGCAACTCTAAAGGCAGGCTCTTAGCCTCTGGGTCATTTTCTAGGGGAAGGGGGCTATGAAAGTCTAAGTCTGTCAGGAGAGGGATGCAAAGCGTTTTATGAAAAGCCAGTAATTCCAGTTGCCCAACATATTTAATCTGCCCAAGTAGAGTGACCACACAGAGACCCAGTTTACCCTGGCGAGTGCTGTCTTCTAAGTTTCTTAGGCTAGGAAAGGCCACGTGGTCTCAGCCTCCATTCCCTTTGCTTTTGGGGCTCTCAGTTTATCGACACCCTTCATAGGCATCAATCTCCCACTCAGCACAGGAAGGCACACTTGTTTCTCATTGCCTAGAATCTTTTCCTTCTTCAACTAGTTAAATCTTTCTCACATGTCAAATCTCAGTTAATCAAGATTTCTCCAGGGAAACTCTGAGCTCCCACATCAGACCTTAGGATTGCACGTGGGGACAAGAAACCAAAAATGCCACTAAACGTGATGAAACAGATGAGGATTTCCATGTATTATACAAAGTCAGGACATGGGCAATTGTTAGTATTGCTACTTAGCAGGTTAATAAGGGCAAGAATAGAATTTCTGTAATCCTGTTCACATTTCCTCATAATCACAAAGTATCTGCTTTAGCTCCAGACATTATATCCACATGCAACGTGAGATGACACACAGAATGGTACCACCATTCTGGTTTGTTCCCTTATGTCCTCCAGTAGATTGTCACTCAAATCTCATGTTAGAATTGCTGTATTGATTTGTTAGCCCCATGAAAAGCTGGGCGGGTGATTATTGTGCTGCATATCTTGCCACCCCCAAAGAAAATTTGGGTTCTGTTAATAAGAAGAGGTAATAGAAAAATTTTTAAGGAACAGACTCTGCCAGGATCAAATCTCCTTGTTATAAATTCCCACTGCACCATGTACCTCCTGCTTGTTTGATTTTTAACAAATTTTTTAAAAAAATTTCTCTCCCTTCACACTGTAATCTTCAAGTGCCCAGAAATTGGAAAATTATGTTTTGTTTATTATTGTATTTCCACAGAACTCATATGCATTGACTGAATAAACCAGTTGATACATTAATGAACAAACTAGCAAATTCATATCCCTCTGCTCAGGTACAAGATGCAAGCTCTATTTGCTATGCCCCAGGTTCCAAGCATGATGTTATATATTATTAAAGGAACAGATGATTTAAATACCATGAAAGTCATTTTATCAGAGAACACAAAGCTTCAACAGGAACTTTTTTCCTCTCTTAAATCTCTTACCTCCAGGTTGAAATATTTTGCTTTCCTAAAAGATTTGGTTTATCTCCTACTTAAAAACAGTAACGAGCTGGGTGTGATGATGCTCACCTGTAATCAGCAACTGGGGAAGCTGATGCAGGAGGTTTGCAAGTTTGAGACCAGCCTAGGCAACTTAGAGAGGCCTTAAGCAACTTAGCAAGACATTGACTTAAAATTAAAACAAAACACAAAAGAAAAAAGAAAAAAACT